CAACAACAAAAACCACCTGCGTTTACTTTCTTATGGCCCTGTTTTTTCCTTCCCGTTTATTCTCGGTGCCTTATGTCTGTCCCCGGGTGGAGCAGCCTGGGGAACAGAAAGATGCCAGATAAACGTTCCCAGGCAGGCCCCAGGCGCTGCAGTGACCTGGTATCCTGATTTGCACTGGTCTTGCTAGAAGTTTCTAAATCCCGAAAACTGTCCGGTGGGGAAGGAAGACAATGCTTTTAGGGAAGAGGTCAAAGGCTAGACCTCCTGTGAGATTAGCCCTCTTGCTCTTGTTCGCCGCCGTGTTCTGTGGCCTGACTGTGTAACTGTGCTCTTCTCCGGAGGGTGAGTGTCGCCTTCCTCTCTTCCACTTCCACCTGACCACTCTCACCGACCACCGTTCCCTGGGAGCATTTATAGGAGGCGCACCCCAGGGCCCCTGGAAATGTGTTGTCTTGAAGCTGACACCTTTGTGAGACTGTCATGTGGCCGGTTACTCCCGAAACTTGCAGCTGCACAGAGGTTTGCTCAGGAGGCATCAACACAGTCCAGCCTACACATGGCCAGTAAGTGACCTTGTCCTGTCTCCAGGGTCCCTTAAGAGTATTGCTTAGGGCTGGTTTGTCGGAAAGCAGCTAATAGAAGAAGTATCAGTGGTTACAGCATAAATGATTCACATTGTGAATAAATAACTTGTTATATTGCACTTGCCTTGGCTACTCATCCAACCTTCGGGGTGGTTCTTGGCCCAAGGCTGGAGGACAGGGTGCTGTGTGGGACTTTAACCTCTTCTCATGCATAAACCCTGAGTATCTCTTGACAAGGTAATCTGTGAAAATGATTGCTTTTAATGCACAATCAGTGATGAAAGATATTATATTGTCTAAATATAGCACGAAATTATAGCTTGTATAGAATGGCCTGAAGGCATTGAGCATCTCCTCTATGAAGAATCTCCTGATAAAGGGTTCTGAGATGCTTGCACACCAGTGTAGATGAACACTCAAAAGTGATGACATTGGGCCCTCCCTGGTGGCGCAGCGGGTTAAAGCACAGCACTAAGAAACTAAAGCCACTTCAGCGTGAGTTCGATCCCTACCGGGGAGTTGATCCACATGGCGCGGCAGACCTCTCCTGACCCGCCCGCTGCTCCCCTCAGCAGTGTACTTTGACAGTGGGCCTGTTCTGCTCCCCACTTTGTCTCTGGTGAATCTTCTCACCAACCCTGCACCTCTGGCCTGTACCTCAGTTCTGTATGCATAAATAAATAAATCTTTTTTTAAAAAAAGTGATGACAGTGGTAACTTTTATGTTACATGCATTTGATTCCAGTAAACTTTTTTTAATTAAAAAAGTCTCCTTGGAAGTTTGCAAACCTTAAACTGGCGTGGAAGGAACGTCCTTTGAAGATGAGGAGGAGAAGGGGAAGGCATCTAATTATAGGTCCTTTGTTACAGCTGGTGAAGGGAACAAGGGACTCTCCAGCCATTGTTGAGAGGAAAAGGATATAAGTTTGTTGCATTTTTTTAAATAATAAGGACTTGTTTTCTCATGGAGGGGTGAACTTGGAAGTGAGGAACTAGTTCCTATTCTTGGCATTGAGCACTAGGGGATTCTCAGCACGGTATGTCCTCAATTTTGTAAAATTCTGGTAATAGTTTTCTGTCAAAAGCAAGGATGGGGGAGGAGCTTCATACTCCAGTCACTTTGGGACCGAGGCAACGTTAAATGAGTTCCTTTCTCTGGAGTGTCTTTGCCAAACTGTCCTGAACTAAACACCCTCAACAAGAGGTGTTGCAGGTGGGTGAGCCCCCCGCTCCACACACACACACCCCAACTGCCATCTAGTTTAACTTTAGCCTGTTAATTACTGTGATCTACCCTGGAAAGTAGTTTGCTGAATGCAAATTTAAGGCCATGTATAGGAGAGAGGAAGTCATCTGCACGAACACAGAAATCAGTTATAGGAAGAAATATAATGAGGTGAAGCCATCGTGTGCCCGGTGCCTGTGGGAAATGCTGGGTGGAGGATATTTGAAGGAAAAATCCCCATGTAATGGCTCCATGCTCCTCATGTGGATAACCACCAGCCTGCCC